AAAAGGCAGTTGTACATTTGCAAATAAATACGCTATTCAGCAGAACGCCAGCTCTTCCACCAGTTATTTTCCTGAATGGGAGACAGGAGACTTTCCTATGAGATGCTGGATGTCTGCTGCTGTTTCCCAGAGGAGACTAGTGCCAGAGGGCGTTGGTCTGTTTTCTGAAACGGATTGAGAGAGTTCTCCCTATGTGTCATGAGAGCTTTTGGTAAAATTAGATTCTGCCCTGTCCATAACAATAAAGGCCATACCCACATGCAGCTTACATAGTTCATATACTTCCTGGAGCAAAACCACAGCAATGTTCAACTGTCTGTTTTCTTTTTTATTTTCACAATGGCTCCTGCTTCGAAAGCAGGTATCTGACCGTTGGGTCCCGCTGCGGCTGAGAGCCTGTGGGTGAACGACTACACAGCACAGTTCAGGCAGAATATATTTGTCAGCGTAGTGCAGACAGGTTCAGCATCGTTCTGTGCCAGTGGTCAGGCTCCAATTTTTGTAGTTAATTGTTTAAACAACAACAAATGGTGTTGCTCTGATGATCTGTGTGTTCCTCTATTAGACCTGATTTGTATGGTGAGGACAGGCTACTGAAAGGAAGAGAAGGGGTTGAATTATCCCCTGTGACTTTGCTGAATTTGTCCTTGTGAATGGAAAGAGAGTGAAATATTTGTCTGCAGGGGGGAGCAGAGTGGTAACAGCCAGGAACAGCTGGAACATATATACTGTGTCATGTCTTTTTGTGGTACTGGGCTTTTCTGCTTGCTGTGGGAATGCTGCAGAGGCATGTTAGCATTTTGCTGAGTAAGTGTGGTGCGAGCTCCGTATGTAAACAGGGATCAGTCACTAGATGAGAGAAAAGGGCTGTTCTCCCAGGGCTATGGCTGTCTCTTGCATGCATCTCAACCTTCACAACCCCAGCCAGGTTTTGTAAATTAAATGTGGGGCTAGATTCTGGGAAAAATATATGCTTGTGGGAATGCCAGTCTAGATAACTCCAGTGTCTCTTCCTGCTTTGATACCTATAAATTTATGAACGAAATAAATCCTCCTGATTCTTCCCATCCTCTCCATCCTGATTATTCTTCTGCCCACAGGGGAGCAAGAACTTTCACTGCTCTTGATATTAATAATAACACCACCAGTTGCTCTGCAACATGGAAATGGGGAAGCTTAAATAGCACACTTACTTCTTTAAATCAGTTGCCTGTAGGGTCATGAAGGAATTTCCCATCAAACGCCATCAGCCAATTTGTTCTCCTCTGTTTTATTAGCAGTCAAGTGTTGTTTTTCCCTGAAACATCAGTAGCCTGAGTTAGGAAAGGAGAGGAGTAGGCCAGTACTTTCATGACGAGCAGAGAATTCCTCTTCGGTATCTGCCTGATGTGAATTGCACACACATTCAGGGTCAAACTGATCATGCTTACTCTGATCTTTGCTAGTGGCACGTGTGAGGTTAGTGTGGTGAGGACAAACACTCTGACATGATCCAAATAAAGACAGATTCTTGAAATTTGATTGAGGCATACCAGTACATGAGTGACCTGTACAATTTGTGTAGAATAGAGAATGATTTTACCTTCTGGGCTTTCAATTTTATGTTTTACATTTTATTTGTTTTTACTTTCTCAGTAATCATGTCTACAGTTCATACCCATGAAGGCTTCTCAGCTTATGACTTTATTCTAGGCAGCATCACATCACGAAAAAAATTCTCTCTTGTCAGAATTTGAAGATTTGCTAAGCCTGGCTCTGATCTCATATAGAAAGAAAGAGAATTTTATCCTAACTGCAAGTCATTTTGGTTTGGTTTCTTTCAGTGGTCAGTCATTTTTGAGAACATTCCTGTAGCTCTGCCTACAGCAGATTTGGAGAGGCAGGCACCACTGGCTGATGCTACTGTTACCAAGCAAAACCTGATCTCTTTCAAGGTAACTATGCGATATGTATAAAATAAAAGCTTAAAAAGTGAGACAAATAAACCTAAGCAAACATAGGTAATTCTACACTTTCAACCCTTTTGGCATTGCAATAATATTAAGAAAATAATTTTTATTTTTAAACCTTTTTAATTGGGTTTTGCCAGTGATTTCAGCATATGTATTCAAAACATACTTGAATTCTGAAACTAAATGCTAATGGATAAATGCAAAAGCTGGAACTAAAATAGAACACCCCAAGGGTTTTGCAGAAATGTTCAGCCAAAATAAATTTTTCTTTGCTCTTCTTTCCCTTCACTTTCCATTCTGTTTCCAACCTCAGCTCACTCTCTACATATGTCTTCAACTGTAAGATTTTTAAAACAAAGACCCTGTCATTCACCATCATGATGAAGGATTTAAGTAAAGAATTTTATAGTTTAGAAGCGGTTGAAAAATATGTGCATGGAGCAGGACAAAAGTGAAATCCCATTTCTTCCATCTGGGCTAGATACCATTCATTTTTAAGCCTGCCATTGTCCAACACATACATGAGTGACACATTATCAGCACAATGAAAATCATTAGGGTAAGAAAATAACTTTATTTGCTCTTTTAATGTTTGGAGCACAAATACCAAGAAGGGACAGCAACTTTCATAACAAACATGTTAACCCCCACATGTTCTGCTTAGTTATGATTTCTGGCTTCCTGTATTTCCCCTGAGGCTACTGGCACCATAAGTAAACTGGCACAGATTTTATTTATTCTGAATATGCTGAGCTGCAACGTGCAAGTAGTTTGGCAGGTGCTTCACAAGCAACCAAGCCGTTCCAGCAGTGAGGACAGGAGCCGTCTGACAGAGGAGCGACACATCTAGCAGGGAACAGAATCGATGTACCCCTCCCTGTCACCATGGCTACCACTCAGCAGGCTTTTTTTGGGCAGAAGTGCCAATTTAAGCAACTGCTGATTTCTTATTACTGCCCCTGCATCACCCCCTCCGTTGGTCAGGTACGAGTGTGTAGCAGGCCACAGCATTTATCCGGTGAGGAAGCTAGTCCTGATCCAGCTGGAAAATAAGCTCTTTTTTTTTGACTCATTCTTTTCCAGGCAGTCAGTTTTCTGATTCAATTCATCCCGTAGCCACACAAATATACTGTGCCTGTGTAACGGGGAGATGGCAGAAGGGCAGGGACAAGTGCCTTAAGAGATGGGGACTACTGGTGATTTAAGCAGCAGTACCACTGAGCGCAAGCAAAGACGGAGCCGGAGCTCTCTTTAAGGCTGTGGTTTGGTATTCAGTATTTAGATCCATTTGGCAGTCCAGGTTCCTCACCACCCTGTCCTGCCCCCTCCCCTCATAAGTTGTTCCTTGTGCAGCTGCACAAGGAACCTGGCAGGGGAACCCATCTGCCTGAAGAATGATCCAGTAACAAATGGGTACTGTTAGGACACTGCAGGGATAACGCGAGAAGTATATCACAATTCATTTTATTTTGGCAGACTAACGTTTTAAAGCCTTCAGGTTTAAGGCTATAAAATCTGTCAGAGTGAGACAGTCAAGTCACATGTGGAAGGAAAGTCACACTTTCCTTCCCTAAAGTGTGACTTTCCTTCCCTAAATAAGTTCCATGGCTGGATGCGTCTCTCCAAAGAGAAGTGTTACAAAGCCTTGTTCACAAACCTGCTATTAAACATGTGAAGTTGTTAAAACATCACTGTGGGTAAAGGATATATGGAGCTGAGTGAGGGTGGTAGTAGAATGTCAGGTTGGGAATTAATATTGCAAGGCTGCGTGAAAGTGACTTAGTCTCAAACAAAAACCTATCTATCTAGAGGTGTCAGAGCACATTTGAAATAAATTGTTTATAGCTTATTCATGACAGTTTTCATTTATGGTAAGATTCTTTTAAGATCAGTGATAATGTAAAGCACTAGCAACAGGGATGCTATGAGTTTATACAGATTTATTTATACGGTTATGTAAATGTACATAGGGCATATATTTATAGTACATATTGTATTAAATACGATAAATACGTATTGCCACAACATTTTTGCTTAAAATCTTGAAAAAAACCAAGCACGGTTTCCAGTTCGTCAGATTCCAGCAGTGACACTGCAAGCTGTTGTCAGCCTGCCCTGCCGAAGACCTCCAGCACAGCTGTGAAAAATTCTGTGAAGACGTTAAACTCTCACCCAGGCCTGATACCGCTAAGCACACCTCGCAGAGCCAGGCTCCACCGCGCGTTCTGTGCCTAGGCAGAGGCATACGAGACTCCTGAGAAATTACAGACTCACAGAACCCGGTGAAGAACCGCTGCGTCCACTTTAAATCTAAGTGAAAGTTACAAGCAGCTTCTTAAAAATGAACACAAGCTGCCCCGTCCTTGAAAAGCCAGGAGTTTCCCATCCTGGAGAGAGCACTAACTCCAAGGATATCAGCAATGTTACGCACTCTGCGGTCATATTTTTCAGTTGTGACAGTGGAGTGGCAACCTGTCTCCCTGAAGTCACTTCTGAAAAAGCCTGTTTCTAAAAAATCTGCAATGACGTGACCAGAAAAATCAAGTTTATTCGTAGTAAATTCATACAGGGGACCACATGCCACTGAAATACCTTTAAATCCACAAACCGAAGAAGTTTGGAAGCAGGGGACCGGGCAGATGGTGGAAGCTGAGGTGGACATTTCAGTGCAGACAGGGCACGGCAGATGTGCGGACCGGCGGCACCGCGACCGCTCCCCCGGCGCTGCCTGTGCC